GAAAAAAAAAAAAAAAAAAAAAAAAAAAAAAAGAAGAAAAGGAGAAGGAGCAGCTATGACATATATATCATTAAACTCATAGGCTCTAAAGTTCCCTATTCTGTAATGTGGTCTCTTTCCCCAGAAGGTCCTGTGGGACAATTTTCAACTTCTTTCTCCCATCCTTTCCTATTTCCTAGCAAGGGGATGATTGAAACCTGCATGGGGGACAGAGCCCACCTGAATGTACTAGTCTTTGACTATGGAGATGAACTGACCTCAAAGATAAAAAGGTGGTGCTGGGGGGCGGGTCAAGTGCTTGGAGCAATGTCAACCTCTGTAAATTCCGAGTTGAAGAAAATGTATTGAACTTTGCCAGGCTTAAGACGCCACTGAAGGACAGTGGGACAGTCAACCAGGTTTGGTTCTCCTAAGTCTGGAGGAGAGACAGTATCGACAAAATTCTATAATGGACCAAGAGCAGCCAGCCACACGACACCTATCATTTGGTCCTCAGCAAGGACTCAAGCATGAGACCAAGTTCTAGGTACTGGCTTCAAAGATGATGGAGGACAGTGGTGTTCAGACTGCTAAGGGTCTCTTTGTTAGAATGGGGAACAGAAGCACAACACCTGTTTCCCTTCCTGCTGGCAGAAGCCATGTACTGTATTGCAGACTCTGCCAATGTCAGGTGTGGGCAACAGGAGAAAGAGCGCTGGCATCGGGAGAGACAATGAAGATGTTATAAAGTCTGGATCTGTGATACAGTAAGGCAGGGCACAGGGGACAGTTGAGCAGAGAGCTTCCAAAAGGAATACTGAACACGTGACACATAGTACCTAGAGATCCAACCTGGGCTTTTCAGATAGCAGCATTAGCAACAGAGGGGACAGGCACAGTGTCTAAAGAGGTGGCCTCTGCCCTCATTTCAGGGTCCAGGAGAATTCTCTGGGTAGCTGTCTGGATTGCACCCTTGGCCAAAGGGCATTTTGCAGCCCTGGGAGCAGCAGCTGTGGGCCAGAGAGAGCAGAGGGCTCTGTGCCTGAGAACTCTGCTGACAAAGCTGGTCCTTTGGCCGTGTAGCTGGATTCTGGAATATGGGTGAGAGGTGGTAAAGGGCACAGGGAGATCCCGAGGGAAGTGGGGGTGGTCCTTTGCCAGCCGCTATTGCAGGGCATTGGGTTCTACCTCCCTTCCCCACCATGTGACAGCAGGGGCCTTTGTCACAGGTAGATCCCCACACTGAGCACGGCACTCAAATGTCGGTGGTGGAATAAATTCTCAGGCAACAGTGTAGGGCACAAGTGTGTGGCCCATACCTCTAGCCAGGACTTATTCAGTTTGGGGAGTCCTCGTGAATGCTGAGGCTCAGGGGTGAGAATTAGCTGGGGAGAAAGAGGCACAGGGACAGGCACCAGGGCACCACTAAGGTTTACGCAAACTCAAGATGTGACATTTCCCAAACTCTGCCACCCAGCCTACTTGCAGAGGACAAAGTATCAAGACAGCTACCACCAAAACATGCTTGACTCAAGGTGACTTCTCCATGCAGAAGCCAGCCGGCCAGTGCCAGGCCTGCTGAGGGCAGCTTTTCAGGAAGTCTGGACAGAGCTTCAGAGACAGATCCCTCAATCCAGAGTCCCCAGATCTAAATCCCTCACGTGCGCAGCCAGAGCCCGCTCTACCAATGACAGCCTGAACAGGGACTCCGTGGGACAGCCCTCCGGTTGTGAGCTCTGCTTCAAACCCAGAACACATTCACAGATGTGCAAGTCAGTTTTGTCTAAAAATTTATTAAACATAATTAATCTTTTACATAGAGGATCTGAACAAGGTAAAAAGAATTAAAAGTTATGTACCCCACTCTAGCAGCTTTCTCTTCAAACTTCCCACAATGTCCTTTTTCAATGCACACATCTTGATTACTTAAAAAACAGAGCACCAAGGACCTGAGTCTACTTTTTCAAGAATCTCAGGGCTGGGGATTTAGCTCAGTGGTGCCACTGCCTGCTTTGTTAAGTGCAAGGTCCTGAGTTCGATCCCCAGTACCAAAAAAAAAAAAAAAAAAAAAAATGTCAATCACATTTATGGAAAACAATCAGTGAGAATTTCCTCTAGGATAAATGTGATTGTGAGATTATGGCTTTCTCAGTGCGGACATCAGCCTCTGCTGCCGGCACCCATGTCCCATCTCATGTCCCTCAAGCAAAAGGACCTCAGACAACAAAGAACCCAACACCCCAGATGGGAAACAAAGAGCACAAGTAACTGTCATTGACTCAATATCCCCATATCCCTCTCACTGGCCCCTGACTGCCCTTTCCCACCTCCATCCCCCTAGGGATCAGAAGTCTGATTTATCACAGAAAATTGTGACCCTTTCACCACAGAATACTCATGAATTATTTTTTTTTTTTGTACTGGGGATCAAACTCAGGACCTTGTGTTTGTGAGACAGGTGGCACCACTGAGCTAAATTGCTGGCCCTGCACTTCATGAAATTTTTAACTGCATACATTTTCTTGAAAACTAATGTGGAGTTGCCCACACGGTTACATGGCTTTAAATAAAAAACAATCTGGATAAATCTAGACGGTGTAAATTTTTGTATGATGGAATATAAGCCCCTAACAAGAGTTCCAAACTTGGGAGCTAAGAGGCAAGAAGTCCAGGATTCTGAATTCTTGGGCTTCTGCTCCATCACGAAGGCTCACTGTCCAGGAGTCAGGGAAAGGAGGTGCTGACCACAGCTTTGTTTGTTTTGCAGGGTCAATTTCCTATCGTCACAGGCTACATAGCAGGCCCTGCCGCAACCTTCCACCTACTGCTGACCTGAGCTTACTCGCTGGATCACAGACACCTATACATAACAGAGGTGCCTGACACGCTTCAGATTCTACTTCTGGACACAGCAACGACATGCAGAGATGGTCAGGGCCAGCAGGACAAGGGGCTTGAGCCCAGCTCACCTTCACCCTCCTCCAACATCAGGGGAGGGGGTAACAACACTGGGGATCCCAGTGTTGGGTACATGCGAAACCAGTGATTCACACAGCCCAGCCCACACTACACATTAGTATTCACTTATTGGCTTGATTAGGTCTTTTAAAATTATTTTTCAATTTTTATTCACTCTTTAGACACTAAGCTCCTACTATGCAAGAGAGATGCTCAGAAAATGTTAGAAAAAGGGAAAATATTCAGAGGTAGCACTTTACGAACATGTCAGGGTCTTCATGTTCTATTCTTGGTCTTGCCACTACTCTCATTATAGGTTGCTGAATGCTCATGTGGACAAAAACTTTATCACAGTATCATGTGGCTGAGCCTAATGCCAATGCCTGTCTGCTCCACTGAGGCATCGCCTTCAAAACAGGCCCTGGAAAGGCCGGGCATGGTGGTGCACGCCTGTAATCCCAGCACTTGGGAGGCTGAGGCAGGAGGATCACTGTGAGTTCGAGACCAGCCTGGGCTACATAGTGAGTTCCAGGTCAGTCTCAACTATACAGTGAGACCCTGTCTCAAAAAAAACAAAAACAAAAAACAAAAAAACGGGCCCTGGAGCTTGGCCTGCAGCTGCCCTAGCAAGTCTTCAGCTTCATGTGGGGATACACCACAGTGATGATGCCTGCAACCGAGGACACAAGACCCCCGAACCCAATGACGCCAGCATTGGTCTTGTAGATCCCCAGCTGGTCCAAAGGGATCAGGATGTCACAGAAATTCTTCACTGTGTCGAGGAGCAAGGGAGGATGTCGTTTCAGGGATCGGAATAGGAGAAGAAAGGACTGGAGCCATTCCATCTCATCAGCCACACTGTGCCCAAGAGGATCCCCAGATGATGATTTCCCTCCCTTTGCCCTTTCATGTGTCACCTGGGCCATTTGCAGGGAGATTTCATACAGGTCCCTGGCCAGGCTCAGCAGCAGGAAGTAGTAGTAGTGGCGGGCAGCCCACATCTGCCACTTGTCTTTGTTGATGCCAGAGGCGAGACCAACGTTCTTCACCCACAGGACGGTATCACAGATGAAATAAACCACCCGGTTCAGGTTGGCTAATGTCAGACAGAAGCGGGGCACCAGGTCAGTGGCATGGATGCTCTGCTCGGTTGCCTGGACAGCATGGACCACATTGCCTAGCCGGAACCCTGCGGGAAGAATGCGTGCTGTTAATGCTGTCTTGTTAACACACAGAGGGATTGGGAGGCAGGGCGAAGACCAGTACTGGCCACTTAAAAACTGGCAGGCACCTGAGGCTCAGGCATGGCTCAGGGAAGAAGGCCTTTGCAGTACGTTAAGGGAAGGCTCATGAAACAGTAAAAGAAAAATTTTTTTTGAGACAGGGTCTCACTTTGTAGTTCAGGCTGGCCCGGAACTCATTATGTAGCTTAGGCTGGCCTCGAAGCAATCCTCCTGCCTCTGCCTCCCAAGTGCTGGGATTACAGGCATAAGCTACTAAACCCAGCTGAGACAGGTACCTCCTCCAGTTGAGTGAGCACCTTAACAACACTGATTTACAGTGCACCCTGGGTTAGGTTGATCATGAACATGGGTTGTGATATTTGAGTGTCATTATGGCCTGCATTTTTCAGAAGGAAGAACTATCCCAACATGAATTCCAGGGGCAATATTCTCTTTACACTTTATTTTCTGGACAAAAAATTATCCTTAAGGAAATTAACGCTTTGCTATTTCTCTGGTCCAAATAAATCCCACCTGGCTATCTACTTTCAAGAAGACAGAATGGAGATGACAGGGTTAGTGGGTAGGACAAGCAATACTGTCTGTCATATGGGCTCCTAGCGGAATTAATCACCACTGCAGCAGCAAGCCCTCATGGAAGTGTGTAATTCTGTGAGTCAGGGATAAGTCAATCAACAAGTACTTACTGAATGCCTGGAGAATGAGCTGTAGTCCTAAACATCACGGAAGGTACACAAGGACATTTCCTTAGAGGCCTACACTGTACACTCAGTAAGGGCTGGGAAGTGGTCACTTGCAGAACACTTACTCAGAAGAGTACTTGGTATTGTTCTACCAAAAACAACACTAAAGAGTTTATATAATGATTGTTCCAGTACAGTACGTGGATGGGGTCTGGCACTAACTGGCTGAATGACCCTGGATAGGATCCCTCTGGAATTTAGAGGTCAGTGACCACTAGAGGACCTTTGAGCTCCACCACTAAAGAATCTCAGGCAGAAGTTCTCATCTTGGCCTTCAAAGTCATCCAGGAAAGCTCATCCCACCTTCCCCACGCCTCTACTTGACAGCTCAAGTTTTCTCTTTCTGCAAAACTAGTTTTTTAGTTTTGCACCAATTCTTCAATCACAGCATTTGTTTGTAAGTTTTAAATCTTGGCTGGAGGAAACTACCCTTCAAGGGTACAGCCTACAATCCCAGCACACTGGAGGCTGAGGCAGGAGGATCATGAGTTCAAGGCCAGTCTAGGCTACATAGCTAACTTAAGGCCAGTCTGCACTGACCTTGTCTCAACTCCCTGCACCTCCAAAGAATGCTCTTTCCATCTTTCCAGCCACACCGCAAGCTCCACTTTCTCCAAATCTATGTTATCTATCCATGGGCCGGGGATTTAGCTTAGTGGTTCTGCTGCCTGCCTCACAAGCACAAGGTCCCGAGTTCAATCCCCGGTACCAAAAAACAAAAACAAAACAAACAAACAAACAAAAATCTATGTATCTATCCATCCACCTTTCTCTCTCTCTCTCTCTTTTAGTACTAGGAGTTGAATCCAGGGCCTCTGCACTGAGCTGTATCCCTGGACATTTTTTTGTTTTTTGGACAGGTTCTCACTAAGTTGCTAAATTGCCCACACTGGGTTCAAACTTACAATCCTCCTGCCTCAGTCTGTTAGAGTGCTGGGATTACAGGTGCATGCCACCATGTACAGCTCCAAATATCTTTCTTTTCTACCCTAGCCACCATGTTTGGTACTAAATCTTATATCATTATTTATAAAACACGGTTTCATTTCTCCTATAAAGATGAAAACTGTTCCTTTATGAAGCAGATGATAAAAAATAATCGGTCAATATGTGATGCTGTTCATCTGATTTTAGCCTACTGCTGGCCTACTATAGCCACAGCTGACCCTCATTAAACAATGAGTCAGGCATGCTATTGCTATGAAATGCTTGGGATTTCCTAGGAGGATCTGTTATAAAAGTGAAAGAAATGAGGGCAAAATACTTCCTTTGCCTTTTGCATTTAACACAAAACTACCTGGTAAATAATCTAAGGAAAGGTGTTCATCTAGCAATCCTCAAGAGAAGAATGGAAAAGGGAAGACGGTCTAGGGCAGAGCTATTCTGTGCTTCCTTAGAACAGTGAGTTCACAAGAGCCAGAATCTCATGCTAGGGATGGCCAAGACATTGTGTGATTCTTATAACAGAGGTGAAGCCATACAATGACACAAGCCATGGGTCAGGGTCAGGAGGAAGCAGAGGATCGGATATAGTACCAACTGTGAACACACAGTGGTCTGTACACAGTCTGCAGCAAAACAGTGAAACTCATGAGCCTACAGTTTCACCAGGCAGCCTTCCTGGTTAACTTCATCAATAAACTCATTTCATGAGAGATTAAGACCTGGAAAGCCCATAGTAATCATAGGGTCTGAGGCTTCTAAACCAGGAGCCACTGTCCCTTGAGAGACAGGGTACTTACATTTACGACCAGTGCTCACACTAGACTCCAGTTTCTTGAGCTTCATTAGCACGTCTTTATCAGCTTTGGGCTCTAACAAATATCTAAGCAACATGCATGTGTATTGAGTGGCTCTGTAATGGAAAAAAAAATGAGGAAAATGATTTATAAACCAAATAAAACTTGATTCATGAAGCAAGGCAAAGGGAAACATATCTTGCTGAATGCAAAGTTTCCAAGACAATTTCTCATGTGGCAGCTCTTACAAGAGCAACATTTTGCAATACTCATTCCACAGGAGGGCCAAAGGGTGGAACACGCAATGGGACTGCAACACAAAGGTTATGAAAGGGAATTCTGCAATAAAGCAGTGCACAGCCTGACAAAGGTGTAGGAAAATAGAAGCAGTCAAAGTAGGAAAACACAAAGAAATCTCCCTTGTGTCAAGTCTGCAAAGATTCTTATTTGTTATTTTCTCAGTGCAGAATAATTTTTGGATTTCTAAAATAAACTTCTCTACCACATAGCCTACTACTTATATGAAAGGACACAACCTCAAACCAGGGAAATGAAACCAAATGAAAAGTCTACAGTTTGAATATTGTTAAATTTTTTAAAACTAAAGGACCAGACATATACTAGTATACAAATTAGTATAGATATATTTTATGTCTTTTGAAATCATTTGTTATAAGACACAGGCAGCATCCTGTTTAATACAGTATTTTTCAGCGAAGGGGTTATTGTCATACCTACAAATAGCAATGACTTACTGATAAATATAATGAGAAATCTGACATCACACAAACATCCAAATGGATCTGGTGGTCCAATAATAGTAGACTCAGCTCCTAGTATCCTGCATCATATAAATGTTACCCTCAATAACAACATGGCACATTTTCCAAAGTGGTGAACTTGTTTTTGGGAATGAAATAAAAAGGGCTAGGGAAGTGCCTCAGGGGTTGCCTAGCATGCCCACGCCCTAAGTGGGATCCCCCGCACAGAGAGAGAGAGAGACAGAGAACAATTTGTCTCTCTCCCTATTTAGTGGTACTGGGGATTGAACTCAGGTCCTTTGAACTGAGCTACTGAGCTAAAAAATTTTTAAATTTTGAGACAGGGTCTTGCTAAGTTGCTGAGTCACCCAGGATGCTGGGATTAAAGTGTGTGCCACTGTACCTTGCTCTCTGCCTCATTTTAAAGTGTGCTTTCTGACTAGAGGGCTCAAGCTGCTCAATACATAGCTATAAGACCCTGTCTCAAAAAAACAAAAACGATGCATCTCCCTTTCTTAAATTGGATCTAACAATAGAAGGGCCTTAAGGTATTTTCTTTTTGTTTTGAAATGCCAGTTTGTTAGAGATGATTAAGAGGGCTGGGAAATGATGATAGTGATCTTGGATCTTACTGAATAAGGATATACTAAGTGATTATTAATCAGTCTCCTTGATAAAACTTGAAGGCTGCAATCTAGGTACACTGAAATGGTAGGGTTGTTTTTCCAGTGCTAGGGACTGAACCCAGGGTCTTTCCACTGAGCGACATAGTGACATCCTCAATCCTTTAAAAACAGGGTTTTTATTTATTATTATTTTTAATTTTGAGATAAGGTAAGTCCCTAAATTCCCCAGGCTGGACTCAAAGTTGCTATCTTCCTGCCTCAGCCTCTGTGAGGGCTGAGATTACAGGTTTCTGCCAATAAACCTTGATTTCTATTTTAAGGACGCTTATATATAGCATAACTACTTTGAAATGCTAAAGAATTTTTAGAAAGGCAGTAGTTATGGTTAGGAAGTAACCACTGAAATGAAATGCATGGACTTTTATCTTTCAGCTCTTTCTTTCCCTCTGTTTCAGATTCCCCAACAGTGAAATGGGGATTTTTAACACTGTCTATAGCCTAAGGTTGTGGTAAGGGTCAAATAAACGAATAGTAGCAAAACAGAACAAAATTCATACAAGGCTGGCAGCCCAAAGTCTCCTTACTGAGGCTATACTTCCTTTGTGTCTGTGTTGGCCCTTGAATACCCAGGAGGAACAGCTGTTAAGTAGAACAGCAACAGTAACTTTTTTTTTTAAGATTATTGAGCAAGAAACATCCAAATGGTTGTTAGAAAACACTTTGGGCAAGGATTAGTACTAAAGACACAACAACCTCTGATAGTTTCGAGGGTGCAGCATGTGCTCAGAGCAGTTGTGTTTCTTTCCACTTTATTTTTACAGTTTACAACTTTCACACGCAGTACCTTCACGGCTCAGATTGGGCAATAATAATGGAAGATAAGGAAGATGAATAAAACTTCTGTTTCTTCATAAGAATTTCAATGAGGGCACAACTAGTGGTTTGCTTTGGGAGCCACAAATGCCAACCCCACGTTCTTCCTAAAAAGAAATCTCTTGGAAGAACACTGTGCGGTGAGAACTCAACTTTCCCGAGAGAGGCTGGGAGAGGGGCGGGTTCCCA